GTCCAGGGCTGAGAGACTTGCGTACATTTTAATCTGAACTGTGAACAGACTTGACATTTCATCAAATCTGCATGCAAAACTGCTGCGGTAGAAACGCGTCGACCTTTATGTAAAGTTATAACTTTTGTATCTTTGCTTTAAATATGGGACTCCTAACTACGCACAGACAATAGTCCTTTGACGAAGTATGGGCCCAAAGAAATTTCAAGTTAAACAATGGTTAGACCAACTTTGTCATTCAGGTTAAGTTTAGTCCCAGGTAGCAATAAAAATGTCAGGAATAGTCAGAATTCATCAGTTCTTCTTCACTCTTTCAATTCCCGGTGATCCTTACAGGTAGCAGTGCCAGTTGCCTCAGGAAGTATTTCTTTCTCTGTCAGTCACATAAGCCCATTGGGTTAAATTACAATGCTTTATAGTGCCAAGTCTTCTGTACAGTTGAGCTTTCTGACCCGCGATCTGCCCTTTGGCCGCCTTACCTGTGGCTCTGTCAAGATGACCCGCCTTGCCGTCTCAGTATCTTGGTCTGGTATCCATATCACATGTACAAACCATTACAACGGTGATATCTCCGTCTGAATAAGGAGCAAGGGTATCTTAGATTGCCACGATACAAACCTTAAAGAGCCTCTTTGCATTATCAATCCCTTTAAGAAAATTTATTTACGGGATCGCGCTCTCGTACTTGTTAAGAACTCACATTCGAAGATTCGAAGCTTCAAATTGCAGTTAAGATCTTTCACATCACTATAGCCAATTAGATTCCGCCTTACTCTGCACGCTTGACTGATCTGTGTGTCTATTTCGATGTACTGCCTACCACTACTCATAAACGCTACTTCCAGATATTTAAACTTCTCTACCTCTTCTAATCGCATTGCATTTATCTGAGCACAGAGAGGGGCTTTTCCGAAGAGTATAAAGTTCGGTTTTTTGTGAGGCTGGTTTTAATGCCAGCTTCATCGCATGTAGCAGCGAAGCACTCAGATCAAGTTGGAGGTCTCAGTGGGAAGAAGTGATCATTACAAGATCATCTGCAAATGGCAACTGACTGAAACAAACCTCTATAACTGTGACATTTCAATGCATAGGCTTCGTCTGCTGATTCAATCCATAAAATTATGAACAGAGTAGGAGACAACACGCATCGTTCGTGAAGACCAATGCACATCTTGAAAGCCATTATTTTCCATTAATTCACACAGGTCTCTGTGCAGTCTAGAAGGATCCGATAGCAGCCAGTAACTGGCCATCCATTCCGTACTGCCGCAGTACTCCCAATAACTTCTATCAGGAAACTTCGTAAGCATTTCAAGCATAAATTTCAGCATACTCCCAGCACTTTCTGCTAAACTAGCGAAAAGCAGAAACGTCATCAACGGTGATTCGGCTAAAACAAAAGCAACACCGTTCATGTAGGACTTTAGGCCTTGCCTTGGAAATTGCCGCCGTCTATTTCTGAACATGAGAAAAACCACTCCGGACTGCAGCCGTTATAATGCTTTTTCAGAACTCCACGGAACCTAGCACATACAAGTCTGTCAGAATATCATTAAAATTTAAGGCTTTATTATTTAACATCATATGCCTTCTTTCCCAACAGCTTGATCACTTTTCGGTGATTTAGTCGCTGCCTACACTCAGTCACTGTGTGACTACTTATCGACCAAAAATCATTTCTTGACTACTGCTATAGTGGTTGTAAAATGATTTTAGAAGTATGTGTTCTTTGTGGTTAGAAAATTACTCTCTGACTCTTCACAGATGAAAGAGTATCTGACCTTCGCATGTACAGAGGGTAGGTAATCTTCCAGGAAACTTAATTTGTCTACTCGCATTCAGTACCGTTTCCTTCGAAACGATTCTCATGCCTTTGCCTTTGCAGCTTTCACTGTACGCACTCAGCTTTATGCGCTTTTATGTATCGAATACGCCAAGACAGGCCTTGTTCGCAAGCCAGACTTAATAATCCTTCGTCGTTACTTTGACGACGTCTTGAACCTTCGATTCAATTTACACAGATTAGATTTTTTTTCGCCAATCACAAAGCAGAGCAGTCTCGGTCAACAGGAAGGTTATGCTGAAGCACCTGCGTGTCTGTTCTGAACAACTTTAACTCTGTTTCTATGTTCGAGGCTTATACTGGATATTTGACTGAACGCTGCTGACGCGTCATCCGCAACCCGCTTCCTTACACCTTCATCCTGCAAGGCTCCTTGTTACATTCGATAGATGAACCACGGTCACTGGTGTTAAGTATCATGGCATTTTGAGAGGTGCAACCTGTGAACAACTGGACGATGTTAACAGCGCCGTTCCTCATCTCATCTAAACATCCCGCATCACAGAACACAAATAATGTGAAACTATAACAAGATCGATCAGTCATCGCTGCCATAATTCACGATATTAGTACATATGTACATTAATGATCATTGCGGACATGTCGATAGCGATGCAGAACTCGAGTAATTTGAAAGTATTTGGATGCATATTCGGATAATTGTTCCTTCTGATTATATCATATCATCTTCGGTTCTCGGGTCTGGCATGTGCGTTGAAGTTCTCCATCAGGAAAATGGATTACAGGCCAGTTACATCTTCAAGGCCGCGCGGATCTGCACCAGGAAGCATTCATAATGGTAACTCCGAATTTGGTGTACACTTGCACTACAGTAAACGGCTGTCGTCACAACCATATTCAGCATAAAAATAATTTCCCTCGAATGGTAACCAGTCAGCAATACTTTCAATCAGCTGAGAGTCAGT